ACACATTCAAAGGTAGCATGTGCCTACGTATTCATGTAGACATATCATGCATAGAACAATGTGCCACAGTCTACTCTGATCCCTCTGGTCTTCATTCTTTCAGCCCTTAAATATTTTTATTTGCGCTAATGGAGGAGTACAGAACTGCAGATAATCCAAAATCCATTTATATTTTGCTTCAAATGTATTATCATGCATTACTTTCCTCTAATGGTTTTATCTTGCTAATAATATTCCTACCAATACTTAAAAAAAAATGTCTTTGCCTTTCACAATAACCTGAAAAGCAAAGGGAACGCCAACCCAGGATTAAAAACTGATCAGAGACAATGCAAACTGGATAGCCCACTAGCAGATACTGAAGAGTTAACTACATGTAAAAGTTCACTTGTTGGTATATGCCCTCATAAGTATTCTAAGTTGTTTTATTTTGCCTGGATCATCATGTCAATTATAGGTTCTCATGTGAGAAAGCATGGCATCTATTTCCTTAATGTCCACCCCCTACCTCATAGCAACATGTATGAAATTCTTTATCTCCTATATCCCCTGAACTCACGTATGCCCATGCAGCATCTCATGGGCACAGTTGTACACGCCAATTAGTACCCGTCGATCCTCAATCCGTGACAGAAGTAAAATAACTGAGGTGTAAGTCACAATCAAGTCCAGGTAACTCCGAGTGAAGTTAAAGTTGAGATTCTACAAGGGAAGTACATAGGAATCTAAGAACATCAAGGCCAATTAATCCCTACTATCCCAACCATTCCAGACAGTGCTAAATAGGCTCTGAAAGGGTCTATTTAGAAGGAAGAACTCACAGGATTGAAAAATTCAGGAGAAAACTAAAACAAAAGTCAGGGGCCAAAGGTGAGCTCAAGATACAAGGAAGTCAGGAAATAAGGTCACATTTAGGGGTTGAAGGAAGTGGAACGAGTACATTTTTGTGTAATTTTTGTATTAAATAAATCACATTGCTGAACCTCTTCACATGTAAACACACTTTAACTTCAGCACATTTTGATAAAAGAATTATAGTCCTGGAATGACTATATAGTATAATATATATGTGTGTGTGTGTGTGTATGTGTGTGTGTGTGTGTGTGTGTATTATATACTCTTGGAGGAATAGTTATTCCTCCAGTTCCATCCCATCCTCACAGTCCCAGATGAGACATTTTCTGTGGATAGAAGAGAATTGAAAAGAATCTTACGATATCAAAATGGCACTGGCAGGCATCAATGGTGTTGAGAAGTTCATATACATGATCCTGGGGGCAGAATTGGAGATGAGAGTGAATAAAGAGAAGGTGACTTATACTACCAGAATTTGAAGGGAAGGGTTCTCTCCCTTATAGATCCTAGGGAGCCACTGAGTAACATAGGGAGGCATTACCGAATAGAGGGTGTTGCTCCTCGGTACATCAGTGGTCCCCTTATCAGGCTTACACTGTGCCAAGTTCTGATGTTTCCACAGGCACAAGTCATTACTATATTAACACACTCTCCCTGATCTTATCATCCCAGTGCCCCCTTCCTACACACACACACACACACACACACACACACACACGTCACAAAATGCAGGTCATTTGATAGGCTGTTTCTAAAATGCCAAAAATCAGACCCATTTTTATGGACAAATCCCAAAGTCAGTCTGTTCTTGGATTCCAACTCCTGTTCTCAGAAGTTAATCATTAAAAAATGTAAATACAACCCAATTTTCTATGTGTTTCTGTTTACTGAACACCTATTATGTGTGAAGTACTTACTAGGTAACTTGCATATACTTTATTTAACCCTCATTTCAGTGTGATAGGGATTCTTTTTCTTTTCATACATAATTTTACCTAAGTAAATATACAGTTTTATTGTGGACACTTTCCTTCTCCCATATAAGCACCCACCCTCTATCCTGCCCCAACCCCCACATAAACCAGTTTAACAATCTGGTATGTCCTTTCATGATTTTCTCCCTATTTATAAAAATCCTATTTAGAGAGAAGGAGAAAAAGAGAGAACTAGAGAAAGGATTTTTTTATGAACATTTGTTACAAAATTGAGATAATATTTCACCCTTCTTGTCATTTTGCCTTTCTCATTCAACCTTACCTGTTGAACATACTCAAGGTTCTCTGGTACAGCACTAATGCAATTCTTTTTAATGGCCACATAATAACCCATGGTATGGACAATTCATTCAGCCCTTTTTCCACTGAGGGCATTTGCTTTGTTCCAAATTCTTAGCCTATCCATTGACTATTGGTACCTTCAGTTCCACAAAAGTAGAACTGCTAGATCCAAAAGTATACAAAATTAAAAAAAAAATTATGTTGCCAAAATGTTTGAATAGGTACTTTACAACAAAAAATATGTACAAATGGCCAATAAGCACATGAAAAGATATTCAACAACATTAGTCATCAGGGAAACACAAATTTAAACCACATTAAAATACCACTACTTATCCACTAGAATGACTAAAATTTAAATCTGATAATAGCTAGTGCTGACGAGAATGTAGAGCAACTGGAACACTAATATATCACTGATGGAAGGGGGAAATGGAACAATCACACTGGAAAAAAATCTGGCAGTTTCTTATAAAATTAAACATACACATACCATATGATTTAGCAATTCAACTTCTAAATTATTTACCTAAGTGAATTTACCTTAGTGAAATGAAAATATATGTCCCCACAATTGTTTGTACTCAAATGTTTATGGCATCTTATGCATAACGGCCAAAAGCTGGACACCACCCAAATGTCCATCAACAGGTAAATAGATAAATTGTATTTATATAATGGAATACTACTCAGCAAAAATAGGAAATGAATCAAAAATACATGAAACAACATAGATAAATCTCAAAATCTTCATGCCTAGTGAAAAAAAGCCAGACACAAAAGAATACATGCTATATAGATTCTAATTATATGAAACCCTAGAAAAGAAAACTCTAATCTGGAAAGTAGATGAGTGGTTGCCTGGGGCCAGGAGTTGGGGAGGGAGGGATTGACTGGGGAAAAAAAGGCACAGGGATATTTGGGGTGATGGAAATTTTCTATACTTTGATTGTAGTGGTGGTGGTTATACAGGTTTATACATTTGTCAAACTTATTAAAAATGTATGGGAAGAAATGTTTCCAAGTTATCTTCCCAAAAAGACTGTATCTAAATCAACATATAGGGAAACCGAGGCTAAGAACAGTTAAGAAACTTGCCCAAGATCACAAAGCTAGTAAGGGAGAGTATCAGAATTAGAACCCAGAGCCCATGATCTTCCCTCTATGCTACATGACTTCTAGTCCTCTAGCTAGATCCAGGCTGCCCCGCTTGCTAGGCAGGTCTTTCTACAACTCATCCTTGCAACCCAGTTCCCACAGAATATAGCTGTGGTTCACTTTCAACCACTCACACAACCAATGTCACTACATAGGTCTTATATTCTAAAGACAAGAATCAGAAAGAAATCAGGCCGACTATGTGGCATGTTGGTTAAGAGTTGGCTTGGGAGTGCCGGCTCTGAGCAACAGGGCCCCCAGTTCAGATCACACATGAGAGCCAGTGACGCTGCACCCTCTATAACTAAGATGGTGAACAACAGCTCGACCTGGAGCTGGGCTGCAGTGAGTCACCAGCGACGGCGTAGGCTGCAGCGGGGCTGCAGTGGGCTGCCATGAGCTACCATGAGTGACTGGTAGCCAGTGTGAGCAGCTGGCAGTTGGCATGAGCTGCCGTGAGCCACCATGAGCGGCCGTCCAATGGTCAGTGACCGATTGCCTCACCCGCGAAGAGCACAATGATAATGTCAACATGGGCCAGTGAAGCGATGTCCTCCACAACTAGACTGCGGAACAAAAGGACAGCAACTTGTCTGTTCCCCTCCCCCAATTCCCCAATAAAATCCTTAAAAAAAAAATCAAGATGAAATTGAATTAATATTTGTTGGCCTATTTTTTTACAATATGCCACTATATGCTAAACACTGAGCTACATGTTTCCCATGCATCATATCATTTAATTCTCACAAATAGATCATGTAGTAAATCTTATTTCCTCATTTTATAGATAAAGAAACTGAGGTTTAAAGAGTTTCTTGTCTAAAGTCATACTTCTTGTAAGTGGGAAAGCTTAGATCTGAAACCACGTGTCTGATTCAGAGCCTACCTACTTTAAAATACACTATATAACTCTAATGTCTCTACGTCCCTTCCTGCCCTAAATGAGCCACACCAAATGCCTTAGGCTCAGACCTTTACAACTGCAGCAACCAGAAAGTATCCTAAAATCTCCTTTGGACTCCAACTTTTCTAGTAAGAGCTCTTTTTTATATGCTTCTAGCACTGTTTCCACTACCCCACCAGTGCCTACCTTCTTTCTAATCACTACTCTCAATCCAAGATTAATTACCTCTGACCTGACCTTACTACTGACCTTACAATCTTTCATGTCCCCACTTCTCTTTTCATTGTGTGATCTGAAGAATGGCCTGAATTAACTCCCTAGGGGTAGAAGCAGGGTCCTCTGCTGTTGTATCATCTGAAGAAATACTATAATACCATCACAAATTTGGATTGTTCAGATGGCTAAAATTTGTGTTATTTCTTGAATGCATTCAATACATACCCACTGCAGAAGATACAAACAAGCGTAATTTTAATTCGTTTTAAAAATCACTCATAATCCCACCAATCAGAAGTTCTAATCTTCTGTATATGCATGTTTATCTGTGTAAATATACATTTTAGGGACATCTCAAGCTGTATTGTACTTTGCTTTTACACTAAAGAACATGTGAAGAACATTTCTCAATGCCAATTAATGTGAATATATATTATCTTTTACAGCTATATAACATTCATTTATAGACATATACTCTGAACTTTAGCCAAACTTCTATTTATTGGATATATCAATTACCAAGTTGTCACATCAAAAATAATGCAACAGAGTACATTCTTGTACATATATCTTTGTGCTTCTATTTTATTGTTTCCTTAAGACAAAATTTCAAGAAGTAGAATTACTACATTAAAAAGTATGTACTGGGCCGGCCGAGTGGCGCGATGGTTAAGAACT